ATATTTCAGCTTTAGCTCAGTTACATCTTTCAGTAGATCTTTCAAAATATATCAGTTCATTTTCTTCTATTTAGTAAATTTAGTTATGGTAAATATATTCAAATATTTTATTTCAATATACTTTAATTAAAACTCTTAGAGGATTTTTTTGTGGTGATTATCAACAAAATTCAGCTAATATAAGAACCTTAACAGCTGCAACGATTCTACTGTAAATGAAGTTTTATATATTTGCTTTGATTGCACTACCCAAGTAATTATCATTTTCAGTGGTATAAGTTTTCAATTCCTTTAGATGGGTACATTTTTCGAGTAACATTTTTGTATTGTAAATTGCTTGTATGCGTCTGTTTGGTGGATTAGTGTTTAATAGTGTCAGAAATAAATGAAATGGGAAAGTGGAATGAAAGACCAATAATCACAGTTCAGTCGATGTTATTTTCTGTCGTATTGCAGCGTACTTATATAATTATTGTACGGTGTTATCTTTAATTTTCATGCTTCAGAGGAGTATAATTTTTTGTGTGTATTTGATGCATTTGTTTCATATACAACGGAAATTAATATATCATTCATTTATTTTCGTTTTCTAAGTAAAATCTTGAATCCCAAGCCTTCTTGTTTTGATATTAAGTATCGAAATTCTGACATTTTGCATTTCCTATCTGTTTCATTTTGGAATTGGTACCTCCATAATGAATTTGAGTAAGAGCTGTAAAAAGTCTCATGTGCTAGCCGTAATATCTAATATACTATAATATAGGCAGAAATAAATGAAAAATGAGTATTGCTGGAAATTGAATTCAAGAAATTTACTACTCTATGTTGAATTTTGTCCTCGCTGTTGGTATTTTATTTTTCAGCTCATCTTTTTTCAGTTTATAATGATTTCAGATTTTTGAAATCGTGATAAACTGTAGTGTTATTGCATCTTTCTATAATAAAGACTTTTTTAATGAAGCAAATAATTGTGGTTTGCATTTCAAATATTTAGGCTGCAGTTAAATCAAAAATATTTTTAGTATGGTCAACATGCCGAACCAATCGGACCATCATATTGCGTTTCGCCAAAATGGTTTTTGTCGAACTGTTTCAAATATTATTTGCTGTTGGACGACATTTCTTCAGGAAGTAATTCGTCAAGGTCATTACTTTTGTTTTGTTTTTTTGTTGTTGATTTGATGATATTTTTGACTTTAATAGTTTAAGGAATCAGTTCTTAGTAGTTTTTTTACGCTTCATTTCATTAAATTACTTTTTTCGATTGCTGAACTGTGCTAACTGTGAAGAATATATGTTTTTGAAATAATATTTTTCAATTTATTTAGAACATCCTCAATATTTTCACGAATCAGTGCAGAATATGGTGCTCATAATTGTTACTTACTTAAGTTTAATTCAATATATGATGATGAGTTAACGGATCCATGGCGTTCACATTTAGAATCAAAATATCGTGGTTTAGAAAAAGGATTATCGCTTGCTAAACAAAAAGTTCTATCTAAAACGATGGGATTGACAGATGATTTAGTAAGTATTATGTTAGGTACTGTTCAGGAAAAATTTTTGTCACACATGTCGTACATGATTTTGATTTGAATTTTATAATGTTCTTGGATTCTTGGATGAAATGCTTGCAGTTGACTTTTCTTTCTAAGGCATCTTGGTTTCACATACTTTGGTATTTGTATTTTAGTGCAGTATAGTTGTTTGGTTTGTTAAAAATAATTAAATGATCCTTTTTTTCCATTATTTATTTGTATTTTTGGGAATAAGAAGGGTAAATTTGCTCAGTTTTGATTTTCTTCAGATCTCAGCAACGAATCAGTCTTCTTTGTCAGGACAGTTATTTTCGGCATCACAGAATAATGATAGTCTTGTTGTTAACTCTAGCTCAGTGTCAGCGTCAATTCACGGCCAGTGTATCAGCTATGATGATCGTGAAAATATTACCCGAATGATGGAAAGTATGATCTATGAATCGCTACTACCTTGGGTTGAACAGCAGATGCGTATTTTGAATGAACAAGTTATTGCACGTCGAGGAATAAGCAAATCATTGACTACAGGAGTACGAAAGTGGTTTGGAGCAGCAGCTGCTCAACAGACAACATCAATAACGTATAGAAATTTGTATTTTTAGCTCTTCTCTCAAAATGCCTACAACCCTTGAAATCATCATTTTTTTACCTTTATTTCACATTAATTCTGTTATCGTACGATTTTTTTTTCTTGTAACTTCCTAATGTTTTTTCAGTTTGTCCTCGAATATGAATTATTTTTGCATTTTTTCAGTTATGCCTGGGATAGTGGTGAGATGCAAATTAGACGATTAGCTGATATGTGTTTCATTTTTGGACTCTATTCATATGCACATCAACTTTACCAAAATGTTAGAAAAGAGTTTGCTGTAGATCAAGCTTGGTATTACAATGCTGGAGCACTTGTAAGTGTTTTTTGTTTTTGGCAAAATCCTGTTTTGTTTGTATAGAGTTCAAGATAGTTTTGGGAAATTAATTGATGTTTTCAGGAAATGGCGGCGCTAAGTTATTTTTTGAGTACACCCAAGATTACTGCCAAACAATATCCACAGCATTATATGGATGACGCAATTAACTTTTATACTACAGTTAGCCTGTAATCACTGAAAGATTTTTATTTTTAAAAAATTATTGAGTTCGTTCTTTAACTGTGAAAAAAGTAGGAAAGGAAAGGAAGATATTCTGAAGAAAGAGTGAGTGAATAATTGCAATTTGTAGAATTGCCATAAAATAACTTTGAAATTTTTGTTTCAGAAAACCTATTTTGGCTATGCGAGCAACTCTTTTAAGTGCTACTATGCTTTCCTCCCTAGAACTATACATTGAAGCATGTACTCAACTTATCAGTCTAACTAGTTCTGTTAGTTCTGGTCTTTTAATTTCTAATTATGATTTTAAATGAATATTGAAAGAGACACTATATATTCAAGTGCATTAGAAACAATTGAAGAGCTGAAGTGACTAGTCTCAGCATACTATTTTTTGAGGATGATGATTTATTCAGTGGTATTTTACTGGAAAAAGCAAGTGTCTATTTTGGGAAGGCTAACATGCGTCGTAAAATGGCATTTCATTACGTTTTGGCCGGACATAGGATGTCAAAAGCTGGTCAGAAACAATTGGCAATGGAATGCTATAAAAAAGCTCTTCCAGAATATCTTTCTAAGCGTTGGATCTTTGCCGAAGTGCTTTTTTAGCTTATATTTAAAGTTTTGTATTTGTGTAGCAATAATTTTTCATCATATGGCTTAATGCATGCTTTGGAATGAAAGTGAAGAAGTTCACTTGTGATAGGATTGCAAATTTGAATGAGAAATTTTTCATCTGCAATAATTATGTAACACATGAAGTTGTTAATTTTACAAAGAAAAGTAAGAGTGAGATTTTTCCTAAATTCGTGTAATGTAAATTCTAAGTGAAGAATCATAAATAATCTATAGCGCTTCGTGAGTGTTACACGCCAACTTAATATAAATTCATTAAGTAATCGAGCTTGTTTTGTAGGACCATATACTTCATACATTAGCCGTGAGAAGTGAAGGAAAAGAAGAAGCTCTGTCATGGTGTTCACTTTTAATTAGGCCACAATCGGTACAGTGCGGGAATCAACTTCGACTTTTTCTCAAGCACTATTTGTGGCTTCTAAGACAGAATCAAACTGATAAAAATCCGGTACAAATGCCAATACCATTAGTTGATGTTCAGAACATCATCGTCATTTATGGAGAACATCCAGTCGAAGTGATCCGAGATTTAATCACAGATGTGGAAGCTTTGGTTTGTTAAATTATTTCCGGGCATTCGAAATTAATTCAAGCTTTTCATCTTTTGTTTTTAGGATAACACTGATGACAGATGGATAAATCTAGCAAAAGCAGCGTACTGCGCACTGACAGGTTCTTTTGCAGGATTCCGAGAAACGGTAACTGTTAGAACAGCTTATACGGATAATTCCAAGGTACGTGTGCACTTTATAAATGCAGCAAAATTGTTTTTTCTTTTAGTCTGTCAAAGTTCACGTTTAAAAAGTTTATTTAACATTATCTTGAGTAAATTACCATTATAATGAATCGAAAAGTTCAGAAACTTCTATTGTTATTTAAATTTGCGCATTACTTTCTTTTTCAATTTAGGTATCTTCAGCTCCACCTTTAGAAAGAATACGTGTCGTATTATCTTTGAAAAATTCTATGGATTTTTGTTTACTTTTGAAAGACATTCATTTAGAAGTATCTGCTGATCAAGCGTTGCTTAAGGAAAATTTTATCGATGAAGTAAGTCGTTTACAGGATCGTTTTATTTGCTGCTCTGTATATTTTTATTCTTGCTAGCAGTGCAAATTTGTGTTGTAGAAAGTTTGTTTTTAACGTGATATAAAGTAGTGCGTTTTTACAGATTTCGTTGACGCCTAAATGTGATTGGATTCCTTTTGAGTTTTCGGTTATCCCGAAAGCATTTAGTGGTGAAATGGTGATACGTAGTTTGCTGTTTAATCTTGTTGTCGATGATATAACTGTTGCTTGTTCATTACCACTTAACATTCGTGGACCTCGACTGAATAATACCAAGAAAGAGGTTTAAATTCCTTTTATGATTTGAAATTTTTTTTCTTCAGCTTTCCTGAATTACAAAATGACGGAGTATTTGAATTTTTATTGACTAACCATATTGTAGCTTATATCTGTTTCTAGAGAATATCAAATTATTTTCAGCCGAGTAAAAGTAAATTGAATGATTTAATTCGTGTCTAGTATATAGATTATATTTAAATAGATGTAATTATGTTTTAGATGACATCAGTTTTGTATGGTGACGATCATCGTTTATGTGCAAAAGTGACAAAAGAACGATGGCCACTCCTTGAAATTGATTTGCCACCAAAACGAGAAATAACAGCATTTTGTGGTCAAATTTGCCGATTTGATTTTAGTGTGACCAATGTCAGTATCATAACTACGCGAGCGATTTGCATAGTCACAGACCACCCGAAGCTTTTATGTGTTCATGAAGAAAAAGATCCAGGAAGCGCTGTTTTCTGTCCAGTGAAATGTACTTTAGCTGCTGATGTTTCTCTTGGTGTTTTCAAATTAAAACACGGTGATCTTGTTACAGGGCAGAGTAAAAGGTTGAGATTTTTAACCAAAATTATTGTTTGTTTTAGAAGTAGTTTTTATGGAATCATCAGTTTTCATTTTTAAAGACGTTTATATTTGCCAGTATTTTAATTTTCTATTTTTTGTATTATTTTTGATATGAGCTTGCATAAACCATGTAAAGTTCTCATTTTTGTCAATTCTAAAGAGTCAGTCATTTTTGCAACTTTAAGATTACGCTTAGAAATTCGAGCTCCTTCTGTTGAATGCACTCAACAAAAAATAAGCATAATGTGTTATTATCTGGGGGATAATAACTTGAGCAGAGAACAAAGACATATAATTGTTATTGATGCACGTTTGATCCTACAAACTTCATTAAGGTAATCTTCTTTCTTCTTACCCTTGTTTGGAGCTTTCATTCTTACATCTTCAACTAGTGCATAGATTTTTAGTATTGGGAGAAAACTTCGTTCCCGGTTGGTTGTTCAATTCCATCCTGTGTTCATATTTTTCAATCTTATTCATTGTCCAATTAGATTATGTATAGCATCAAGTTTTAGTTTTAAAGTGCCTTTTTTGCAGACTTCTAGATTTCGCCACTGGTGCATGTTTATTGCAGTTGCGCAATCTCGTACAGAATCGTAGTTCTTTGCTTGCCAGAATCAAACTGCTAAGGATACGACCATTCATTAATGATAAAAAAAATTATTTCCCGGAAAGGGATCAGTACCCTTATGTATTTCTTCATCCTCTTCAAAGTCGTCAAGGTTATTTTGTTAACTCTGATATATATATCTGTATGTAAATAATAAGAACGTAGAAAACGAAAAGACAAAAGAGGGAATACTGTTTAAGGTCATTATAAGCTCTATCATATTTATCATTTCACAAATCTTATATTATTTTAGTCGAAATTGAAAGTGAGCAGTTGGATAGCATATCATTTTTGGTCAGCGGAAATGCAGGAGCATCACAGTTGTGGTTTTGTGATGAAATTGATGATCTTCCGGAATGGTCAGCTCCTGATAATTTAACTGATATATCTTGCTTAGTGTCGCCATCATCAAGAGCAGATATAGAAAAAAAGGATTTTGCTGTTCCAGAACTTTATTTAAGTTTCGGGATTTTTTGGAGAGCTAGTATTGTTAACAGCGATAGCACTGCTTCTACAGGTAGTTTTAATTTTTTGCTTCACTGAAACTGAATGAATTCAAGCATTATGAGAATCAAAAATGTAATAATGAACTTACCTGTAGAATATATAGTCATAAAAAACTTGCCTGTAAAATGTGGTATGATCTGGGAAAAAATCTTTTAATTGCAGTTCTATAATAAAGCCATTTTTTCCTAGTGTTGTTTATGTCAAGGTTGTATTTAATATTTACTAGTACATAGATATTTAGTATTGGGGGAAAACTTCGTGCTGAATCCGTTTCCGGCTGGTTGTTCAATTCCATCCTGTGTTCATATTTTCCAATCTTATTCTCTGCAACATTTAAATGAAAATGATGGAACAAAATGTCAGTTATCATTGCCATCAACTGCAATAATTAATCAGGATCTGTTTGCTTTTATTTGTAAAATCTCGACACCTTCGTTCATTATTCATCATAATTTCAGTGAAAAAAGGTAGGTATTCGTTCTGATGAAGAATTTCGAAGTATTTTTTAAGATGGCATTGTAAACATTATCGTCAGCAGAACTGCAATTAAAAGATTTTTCCAGATCATGCCATATTCCGATACAGATATCAGTTACGAATAATGATATTTGCCGCCGCAGTTGTACAATTACAATTCATTTCCTAGATTTTTATCTTGGAAAACAAACTACAGACTCAGAAACAAACAGTGCAATCATTTCTGAGTCTCTGCACAAATGTGTAGTTCCACCATCAGATTCCAGTAATCATTCTCCAACAAGTTTACAAGCAGCAATTGTTGCTAATCGTTTATGTATGCATGCGAGAGTTGGTTTCGGCTGTACACAAATGTTTGATGTCCGACTTACTGTTTACTGTCCATCAATTTATGACATCGGTTGTTTCCGGATCGTTGGCTTGTTCGATGGTGACAGGACTGAAGTCCCTATACATGTGCCTTCAACCTACATTACTGTGATCGATCAACGGGTTTAGAATTGTTTATTTAAATAAAGGGCCATGATTTTGTTCTTTCAGCTCTTAGTTTTTAAGGTTCCATGTTTCTGTAATATAGCAGTTGTGTACAAAGCATTGTTATTACTTCTTCGAATTCGATAGTAATAGTAGTCTATTTCCTTAGCAATGAAGAGGGAGAGACACTTCATTTTTTGATGTTTGGTAGTTATATTTAATTTATTCTATATGTATCTTGGAGTTGAATTCTTGAATTGGTTTGTTTCACTTGGATGATGAATATTTTTTCCTCAGTGTGAAAAAAATATCATTCATAATTGTTATTAATAATAATTCCACTGATTCTTAAAACAATTTCGTCCTCTAAAGCTTTTTTAACAAGCTTTAAAAAATGAACTTTTTTTAAAACACGATGTTGAAATTTGGGAGTTACACTTTTTAATTATTCTGTTAATACACATAATCGAGTATGACTATGCTTATATAACGTTCCAATTTTGAAACTTGAAAGGTGGCTTAAATTGATTCAAGCTTTGCGAATGTTTATTTTTGTCTTTTTCTGAATAATAATCTTGCCATAAATACTATGTTGTGACGTTTTTCGTCGTTTTATTATCGTTTTTTCTCTACTACTATCTTTCATGTTATTTCATGAATTTTCTTCTAATTTTATCTAATAATTTTATGCTCCCGTTGAGTACAACTTTTCAGTAACGCTGAAAAATCGGGGATTGTTTGCATTCTAAGCCTATCGTTCTCTTAATTTTCTAAGCAAATGTTGTTTAAAGTCCAATTTTTTGGGAAGTACTACAGTAATTCTTTCTTATCTAGCACTAATAAAAATTCTCGTGCATTTAGCAGTTAACCAATCGCTATGGCATCTCAAACGCAAGGCATTCAACAGCTTCTTGCTGCAGAAAAACGCGCAGCGGAAAAAATCAATGAAGCCAGGAAACGTAAAGCGCAACGTTTAAAACAAGCTAAACAAGAAGCACAGGCTGAGATTGAAGAATACCGAGTTGTGGGTTCCTTTTATTTCTGACTGATTCGAAATTAGTATTGTAAGTTAGATATAATTGCAGTGAAAAGTTATTGTTTGGGTTGTGAACTTCAGCTGAAGTGTTAAGGGGCTTTTTTTCGCTCTTTAGTGTCGTTTATGAAGATAGGAACATAATGAGAAAGGTGCTAAGATCAGAATTGAGTAAAATAAAAATTAGTAAAAGATAGACAATATTTGTTGCTTAAAATGGGAGTTTATTTGTTTTGAGAATTATTGTAGCATAAGATTCTGGTATTTTCGGACAAAATTTCACTTTTATGTACTTGCGAAAATTTTGTTTTGTAGTTTTTTGTCAGTCCATCATTGTAATGAATTGCTTGTATTAAGCACTTTTATTCATCCTATTCTTTAACTCGTTTATATAACTATTTCGTATTATTAATGAAACTTTTCACTACAATTGTTGAAAATTTCTATTAAAGGAACGGGAACGTCAATTCAAAGAATACGAGCACAAATACCTTGGGAAGAAAGAGGATATTGAAACCAAAATTAGACAAGATACAGAAGACAATATTAGGAAGATGGAAAGTTTCGTTGCGAAAAATAAACAACAGGTTTGTTTTTTACTAAAATTAACTATTAAGATCGCGCTAATTCAAGATTTGGCATGTGCAGTGCAATAATCTGACGCAAATGCTTTGCCCGAATATAAGTACAGTTTTCAGCAGAATTTTAGTTTTTTCCCGTTATCGTGAAATGTTGATTGGCCAATCGCAGCTGAATAAAACTCAAGCATTTTTACTTACCAAACAGATACTTTTTGTCGCTTATGTGAAACTTCGTGTTTTCTAGGTTATTGTTCGTTTGCTACAATTAGTATGCGACATTCGACCGGAACTCCATCAAAATCTTCAAATTCAGAAGAAACTTCAAGGAATACATTTCTAATACTTTTTAAAATTATTCACTTTTTGATTTAAATTGATAGAATAGATTAGCACTGAACACTATTTATATGGTTGTGATGTATGAATACTTTATTTTGCGTCATTTTTCATGTATGGTACAAGATATTCTTGCCTATTAAACCTACTATACGTCTTAACTGTGATTCTGATTCGATTTTTAATGACAGTTTAAAAATTAAATTTCTAGAATTTAAAAATTCCGTAAATAAAAGTATTTGTTCAACTGTGAATAACTGTCATAGCATTACAAGGATCCTTCCTATTAATTATCAGTAACTAGAAGGAAATTAAAGTACTGACTTCAATGGTGTTTATTGGAAATTCACAGTGCTTGCAGAGGTCTATTTTTTTCACGTAGTGGTGAAGTGTTAGTTGGTTAATCAGAGCTAAATTAGTTTCATGTGTTTTTGCTTAGCCGATAAATACCTATTTTTGTCGCAGTACTGGTCATCTTCATTTTCGTAAATTTTTAAGTAATAAAGTTGCTTACCTTTCTTTGTTATTTGCATATAGGGATCTGTGCTGGTTCCTGTCCAGTCATATTTTGCAGAGTAATGATTAAATTAATAGCCTGGTATTCTGTGATACATTATCAAAGGAAATGTCTTAAAATTTCCCAAGGAAATCGTTGGATTTAGTCTGTAATTCTTAAAGTTTTTCTTCGGGAGCGGGGGTGTTTAGTATTAGTTATTGCCAGGAAGGTTACTGAGATTCTTCTTCTTCAAGATATTGATCTTCGGAAAGCTAGCGAATTGCATTATCACAGGCATTTGTATTTTAGTTAAAAATTTTCGACGCAGTTCAATAATTACTGCTGGAACATTTTATTATCTGTCTTCATTATGATTGAAATAACTGTAAACGATCGGCTTGGCAAGAAAGTAAGAATCAAGTGCAATCCGAACGATACTATTGGTGATTTGAAAAAACTTATTGCTGCTCAAACTGGCACTAGGTAAAACCAACATTCTTTGATTACGTTTTGTAGTTAATTGACATTCTGTTGAATAATTTGTATGATATTAAGTATCCTTGCTTTTGCAGGTATGAAAAGATCGTATTGAAAAAATGGTATACAATATACAAAGATCATATAACATTACAAGATTATGAGATACACGATGGTTTCAATTTTGAATTATATTATCAGTGATATTGCTGGAGGATTACGTTTCTATGTTGTGTCTTTCTTTTGTCGATAGCTCTAATATTCGTTTTCGTTTTTTATCAGCAATTTTTTATTATGACAAGTTTTAAGTTTTTGTAAAATTATCATGCATTATTCTAAGCCAGCGCTGAGTCGACGGCAGTAGTCAGTTTCTGATCATATTTAGACGTAACATAATCAGTAAACAGTTATTGACAAAAGCAAATTTCGCTATAAATCCAATCCATGTAATGAGTTTAATATTAAAGAAGGATTTTATTTGAATGATTTTTGTTAGGTTACAGTTACTGTCTAAGCGAGGGAATATTGCAGTGCATTGCTTTATTGTAGAAATCAATGAAGTAGTTTTATTACTATTTGAGAGATTTCAGAAAAGAGAATGTGGCTGTGATCAATTACATAAATGAAGGCAGTGTTTATAGTAATGAGATCACCACAGGATTAAGTTGGTGTATTGAGTAATTCATTTTTAAACCAAATTGACGGTTGAGGTAGGTTTGATTTTGGACATTGATTGTCATGATGCTAATTTGCTGCTTATTTTCATTAGACAATGTTTTTGTTGAGTAATTTTTGTTAATTGATATAATGAGTTCATAATTATATGATATCATGTATGATACAACAAAGGCCGTTATGTTCATTTATTTTGTCGTGGAACTTTGGATGCTTTTGTTGTACATTGTATCTGCTTAAAAGATATGATTGATTATGATATTCAGTCAGGCAATTTAATGATCATTGTATTAGAATTTAAAGCTCTGAAAATGCTTGTCATTATGAACTTTATGTGATGGAAATGAATGTAAGAATCATATCACAGCATATCTAACTTCAGATGCATTTCAAATACAATTTATCTGCAAATGTAGTATGAGACGTTCAATCGCAGATGGATGTTTGCCAAGTTTTGACAAGTCTTGAGATAGGAAGATTTATATGTTTTTGAGATTCTGCAATGCAGATTTTGCGTCGCTTGAATTGAGGTCAGGTCTAATTTATGGTTCTGTCAGAAAAGGAGCGCAAAGAAAATAGATGGCAGGGTACTGTAAGTGCCGTTTGCATCCAAGCGTATCTTCGACATGTTTTAACTTGATGGTTCTTCATAGCAGACGTGATATTACTGCATTAGAAAGTTGATAAGTTCTCTTTCGAGAAAAAAGTTTTGAATTTCATCAAGTTTATGCATGTACTTTCATGGAAGTAAGTTGTTTATGATTTGTTTGCACAGTGCTGGCATGAAGCAAATTCTTTCTCAGTCCATGCAAATATTTTCGTAAATTTCAGAATAAATAATAAATGCAGTGAAGTCTCGTGTATGACTGTAGCAATAGAAACATATCTATCTATCTGTTGATAATATACTTCGGAACATGTATTCATTAATAATGCATTCAATTATACTTCTGTTAATTATTTACTTAATTTATTGCTTTTTAAGTCTTCTCTGTTTCGCTGCCTGTTCATATTTCCCACTACTTTGAGAAATTATGCAAAATATGTAGCCGAGGAAAAGTTCAGTCAACAAAATATTGCATAGATACTGAATCTTCTCAATTAACGCATGATGCGATCAGTTATAAATAAAGCTTTATCAGTGCTGAAATCAGCGACTTTGACTAGTATCGTTTACGATCATCAGTTCTGGAAGTATGCACAATTGTCAGAATGCTTCACTTTCTTTGAAGTCTTTGTCGGTCTTCAGAAAGTTATCAATTTTGTCAACAGTTTTACTCTCAGTAAATGAGTAAATGAAAAATGCTGCTTTCCTTTTAATTCATACAAGTACTATACAATTTCAGTGGTAATTAAAAACTGAAAACATACATACACGGGAAAAAATCTTTATATGTCACTTTTATGTGATAGGCATATTATGATTGATTTAATAAGTCTGATTAATTGTAAAATTCTGAAGGTGTTTTCAAATTTCACAACTTCAGAGTCTATAAATTTATCTACAGTACTTTACCGAAAGATGATTGGAGCTTGACGAAAGAGTTATCTTGTTAATTAATACAGATTAACTTTTCAAACACAAACTGACTACGAGATATAAACTTTTGAATCATTTTTCGATTGGTATTATTTGTTGTTTCAATTGCGATCGATGGCAAATTCTTAAATTCAAAGTATTGATATCTCTATTTTCGTTACTTATCAAAGTTATTTGATAGTATCGAAAGCTGGAGATATTACTGAAATACCTGTAAAAACAAAGTTACCAATGAAAATCATTTTTGAACTCATTTTTTATTCGTTTTTTTTACACGAAATAATCCTGTTTTACTTGATATTTAAAGTTTTTCAATCAAACTTACAACAATAATTAATGATTAAATTTTATTTTTGTATTTATTCTCTTTGACTAACCATATTTTTTTCCAATACAATCGCGTATTACTTTTCTTTCCCATTTATTTTGCTGTTGTTTGTGTTGCATGGAAATTTTTCGTTCAGGTTTCCATTTTCGAATTTGATTTATTTCAAATCTTTGACAACAATAAATGCATGTTATACAAGTAAAAATAAGGCAGCAGCAGATAACTGTTGTCAGTGCTGTTATTACAACTACTGCAAATGTAATCTCTACTGACCAGTCATCTAAATTGTTCAAACAATAAATTGTAAGGTTGTAACGCTTTGAAAGAAGAATTCCTTCTAATGCTAACATACACATATAAAAGTTATCCTTAGTACCGCGATTTCATTTGAAGACTTTCAACATTACAGTTTACTTTTATATTTATATTTATTTATTTATTTATTTGAAAAATTATTATTATAATTAAAACACTTACTGGAGCAGTTCATTAAGCGTACATATTTGAGTGGACACGTTGAAAAATTACATCTATAAGGCATACATTTTCGTGATAATTCACACCAAAAACATTTCTAAAAAGGATTTGATTTAGTTGCTAAACGCAAATGCAAACTAACATATGCTTTAATTTGTCTACTGTCCACTTATTTTTACTCGATTTTATTTATATTTTTTGAAAAAAAGTCAAGTGTAGATTAAGAATTATTTAATAAATAAAAATTTGCAATAAAAAACATTTGTTTCAGAAAAATGCTAATGAAAATTATTCATCACAATAGCAAATAATCATAATATAATAATTAAGAGATAATTGATGCTAAAAAATAAACTTACTTCTAATAAAACTTTTAACAGCAAATAAAACTTCACTTACTGGTCCTTTTTTAATACAATTTACGCAGTTCATCTCACTATTGTTTACGATTTCACACTGAATTTTTGAATTTTTTTCATTTGTTACATTTTCAAATGAGTTATTTCTTGCAGCATTAATTAATTTTAGTGACAAAAGCCAGAAAATTAAGATCGAATTTTCTACCATTTTCTGAAGATCTTACGATTGTTAGATTTATTGAACTGCATTTAAATTAAATCTATTCTTATTATTCGACTGAAAAGTAATTTTGTTAACAGTAAATGTTATCACTTTGAATTATGATTACAATAGTAATCATGATTGTACTGTTAATAGAGTTAATACGATTTTATAATTTTTTATTATGCTTCATATTTTACCAAATTCCTCATAGAAAAAAATACTACCATTTCTATGTTAAGTGTTAATACAAAACAAAAAATAGTTAATGATAAAGTTATGTGGGGCGACTACATCTCTGCATCACTTTATATGTTTCAATACATTTTAAAAGCAGTATCTAAACTAAGTTAACAAAATTTAGACAATTCAAAGAATGTTACGTAAAATATATATATTTTAAGTCAATCTCCAAAGCAATTCACTTACAATACTTGCAATGCAAATAGCGTTATTAGTGCGAAAAAATGTTTAAATCAGTCAGAGATAACTTTATTTTTCATATTCAAAACCCTAAATTTGACAGTGAAAAGAACCAAAAACAGTTCGCCATTTATTTGTGTTATATCACAGAAAAACACGTTACAAGCGTGTACATTCAGTGTTTTCGCCCATCTTTTGAGGAAACAATTGTTTGTTTGAACAGCAGCTTATCTTCTATTCGCAACGTTGAAAAACAGCAGAAGAACGCTAACACAAATGAAAAAACATTTGTCAATAGAAGAATCTTTTTTGTTTTTACTAAAATTGCTGAAATATGCACACAATAATATATGGGTGATAATAGTTTGATAGTGATGCATTTTTTGACTTAAAGATTTTCTCGAAAATATATGAATACAAAATGACAATTCAGCTTTATCTTTTGCATTAATATTCAGTTATAATATTCTGTAAGCTGAT